TGATTTGAGGTACGCCGTTGTATTTCCATTGATTCATGATTCATTACGTAAAAGTTCACGTAGATTTCCCAGCCTTGTGTTCTGACGCGAATTCGGGATTCGGTATCTCAGATGTCGGCCGTCAATCCGATACAATAGATCTTTGTGGTGATCCCGGTCTACAAGATGACGCGTACCCTGGGGCGGCGCGTTACAGTTTTTGGACAACTGCGATCAATCAAACTTCACAGGTGACGTCAGCAACGCGTACGTGTCACTGTTCCTGACTACATACCATAGGTAGATCGTACCAGCCAATCAGAGACTGTGCGGCCCAGACAGAAGCAGAACGACGCAAGAAATACTGGAACGCGATTGGAGGAAGCCCGGATGATCAATGAACATGTTTGTACATGCTCTTTAGCCTCCCTTGTTTCTTCCAATAAATGAACTACTACTCCTGTGGCCTTTTTCTCACGTCTCGGTTACGTGGGATATTGCGTGCTAGTGCCATTGCGATCCAGTGCTTACGTGATCCAGTCCGCGATTGCTAATCGATGATTTGTGTTCCGTGATTCGTATTGCGTGGTTCGTATTCCGAGTTCATTGCGGACTACTACTATGAGTACTACAACCACTACAGTCCCACTTACTTCCCACGTATTACAGCGTAAAACGAATAGCTCTCCTGACCGTTTGTTACTTCTGTGTGATTACTTCAGACAGATTGTGACTGCCAAATCCAAGATCCTGCCGAGTGAGGGTTTATCATTAGAATGCGTTTCGTACATCGAATCGGTATTGCATTACCAATTTCCAGTGAGGTCTGCTCTGGTGAGTCAACCCTCCCACATGACCGGCTATCCACCTACGCGTTACGATTTCTGAACAACGAACCACCGACCAATTCTGTAATCCATTCAGAAGTCGTGCGGTCCAGACAGAAGCTGTATGACGTCAAGAATACAAGCAGGTGATTGGTGGATACCTATACAACCAATCAAATTCCTTTGTACGTGTTTTCTAATCGCTTCGATTTCTTTCAATACGCCAACTGCCATTTCTGTGGTACTTTCATTGTGTCTCTGTGAGGAGAGATACCAGCGTGCAAGTCCTAGTGCGATTCAGCGCTTCAGTTGCGTCCGTGATTTATGATTTGTGATTCATGATCTGTGTCTGCCTCAACTACTACATCCGCTAGGCACCTCTTCTCTTTTATATGCGCACACGAGGGTTGGTGCTATTTAATCTCAACAAAGTTGGTTAGTTCACGAAATTTCGAATGTCGCAATGCGGTTAAATGTTTCGGATCAGTTTGCACGAAGAAGTGAAACCGATGCAATAATTCCATTCCATTTAATACTGAAATTTTTCTTCACCTGTTTTTTCTTCACTTGTTTTTTTCTTCACGGAGTTCCGTGATATAGTTGTTCTAGCGAACTACTTCGTTCAACTTGGCATCCAAGTTTATCATGATACGATACGCGATCATTTGTCTTGTTTCAATCTGGTCACCTTTCTCGAAAGTTCTTTGCTGGAGATTTCATACGTCTCGATACGTCCGTTTCACGCTTCCTCACTACTTACCTTTTAGTAGCTATCCTGAAAATGTTCTTATCCATAAAAAATCATTCATGAGCACTTGTGAATACTGTTCGATTCTGGTACATCTCAAGACTCACCACTGTAAAACTATATAGTTCAAACTCACTCAACTTTTATCTCGGGCTCTTACAGGATGAAACTGTACAACAATCCGAACACTTATCAACAACCCGAAAGGTGTATTCTTTCATTGTTTTGCTTTTTCGATATTTTCCAGTTTAGTTTGTTCCTAAGACTGTACGCCTATTTCTTATTATCTCAACTTTTATTTGAAAAGCTTTGCTAATCGATAGAGCCTGGCTACATCTATGCAACCTGCTTTTCTTCCCCACATTTCTGGAGCAGCATCGGCGCGCGAAATGACTGCACATTATGAGAAAGAGGGGCGAATTATTTTGGAGCCTTCATATTCACTTAACAGGAATGAGATTGGTTGAATCACTAGAAGTGATATAGGGAAGCCATTCTGTGGGAAAAAAAGAGTTTTCAGGAGGTGATAGACAGTAGAAGAGTGTTGTGGCACAGCTGATTAATTTGCTCCTATTCCGAGGAAGGTACATCGCCTTCGGTCTGCAAACTTTCTGATGATGATGATGATGATGATGATGATGATGATGTACAGCTCGTCATATGGACCGAGATTAACCGAGATTTCTCAAAGTTATAACCACACGATATCGCCTTGATTATGAATTGTCAAATGTTTGTCTTCCTCTAACTTTTGTCGTCCATGTGGCAATTCCACAAGTAAAACAGAGCTTAGTTGAGAGCGTTTGGAAATTAATTTATTTGAAAGGAACGGAGGATTTGATTCGAGTAAATTAGGCGTGAGCTGAAAAAAACTAAGAAGTAATGGGTAGCTGTTTTTATCTGACCAGCAGCCAGTCTAACCAGAGACAGAGTAGTTAATTAGACGGTTTCTCATATTGTATAAACTCATTTTTGCGAACTTTTTGCAGGCAACGAACCTCGCTCATTTCAGCACCAGCCTCCAAGGTTCTGACTCAGTTGAATACTTTCACAAT